GCATGCTGCAATGGCATTAGCACCTGGTTTGCCATAACATTTCACATACTGTAAGACCTAGCTTTGCTTCGTCGGCTGCATGCATGCATGTTCTAATTACTTAACTATGACCTCTTGTTTTCAGCAGGCTGTTCGGATGGCTCGGAAAGAAGTTGACATCCACTTGAAGGAAGTAGGGTATATCAACTGCTATGCATTTTTCATGGCCTACCTGTTGATGGCCATTAGGGGGCTGGGCTACCTCGTCATTACCTGGTCCACCGTCGTTCTCCTAGGCGGCTTTGTCTCGGATCTGGGGAAGAAGGACTTTTGGTCCCTCACCATCATCACCCTCGTCCTAACACCTCGGTAAGTTTCCTTGACCACTGTTCAATTTGCCCCCCCCCCTCATATGTACAAGACACAATAAAAGTAAGAGACATGTGTGAAGCCTACAATAATCAACATAATAGTTACCTTTAATTAGTTTGATAACATAATGCTCGACAAAGTTTAATGAATTACATTTAGAAACATTTGATCTGCCGGTATATAACCACCAAAGTGTTCTTACTCGATCATGTAATTTCAATAGTAACTTCGAAGAGGCCTAGATTGGTATCTCCTGCTTTATACTATCGAAAAGAAAGAAGTATAGATGTATGTCACAATTATATACGAAAACTATATAGAGGCAGAACTAGTCGCAAGAACATTTGGGTGCACATGTACGTGTACCTGCCCGTGATCGATTGTCACGATATGGGACGATGAGAAAGTTGGCGTACATGCAAAAAAATAGCTAGTGATAAGGAAATACTTTTTTGAAGGTGCACAAACATGTGATGGGGGCGATCTTTTCAGGTAAACACCTTGAGGGGTTCATGTTAAATTTGGTTATACTTTAAGTTACTAGAACACACGTATTGCACAAGCACTTTGATGCATGTATATTTGTGCCAAACTCTTATGATCACGGATAGGGACATGCGGGGGAGGGTGAGAAATTTTGCAAACACACAAAACTTGAAGGTAAACACCTTGACGGATTCGTGTTGAATTTTGTTATACCTTTAAAAGTAACTAGAACAGAGAAATTGCAAAACAAATTGCTCTCCCTTGATTATTAGGGATATGATGTCAGAACATGAGGAACTTTGGTATCGATGCAAAACTAGCTGAACAAGACCGAATTTTTTTCAAAGGTGCGCAAATATGTTATGGGTAGAATCTCTTTGAAGGTAAAGACATTGAGGGGTTCAATTCTATTATACTTTAAAAGTTACGGGGACATAGGAACTGATAAAAAGAAGAAGCAAAGATTACAAATCGATGACGTACCATAGAAAACTGATCTCCTAAATGCCTTGTCGAGAAAGAATTCCAGTGTTTTGTCATTTGATTACATGCGTCATAGTGATCAATAGAATGAGCTTAAAAAGGTCCGTTGTTGGATTAATCGTCAGATGTATTGTTTTTTCTCCTAAGATTTTCGAGCATTCTTCTGTTTTCCTACAAGATCGTCTATTATGTGAAATATGCTTAATTATGTGTGTACTGCAACATATTTTCAATCTCGGAGGTGAAGACAATTATAAAAAATTAGGTCTTTTAGAATCCCAAGGTTTACGGAAAGCCAAAAGAATACTTAATCATATTCATGGAGTATTCTGTAATTTAGTTATCTTATTTTGTTGGGCAGAGTACAACATTTTGATATGTCACTCTGTATCATGTACAGCTCTAACTGTAACTTATATGTCCAGGGTCTGTGCTGATGTCGGTCTGAAGGAGAAGCTAATGGATATTTGGTACTCGTTCCATGGCCTCTACCGTACTATATTTGCCACGCTGGACACCAAAAATTCTATCACCCTAGCATATTGGCCACGCGGACTGCTAGCAGTTGTTGTGTGGTTGTGTCACCTGCTCGTGGCTCCTATAGTAGTGGGCCCTCTAGCAGCTCTCTACGTGTGTGGGCCGCTGTTGAGCGCCGGGATTTCTGTGTGGCGTCTAATAGAACATGACTACGGCGACGTCATGAAGGAAGAAGGTTGCTGCAACTGCATGAAGGATGAAGATTCACACCTGCAGCCGGCTCTGAATGTCTTGTACACACTAGCTCTGTTGCAGGGTTTGCTCTTCTGTTACAGGTGTTGTCATTTTCCTTTTTCTTTTTATAAAGGGATTTTTTGTGCAGTCAATAGTTGCACCGATGTTATAGAAACAACACTTAAGAAAAACCCGATTTTATGTTGCAGGTTTTACGCGTCTTTTGCGCGAAAAAGGCTAGTGCGTGATGTCGCGAAAGAGTACAACATGAGCAATGACGAACAATTGGTGAAGGCTGTGAAGAAGTACCTGAGTGAGACGGTGAGCAGGTGCGAGAAGGACCCGGCTTTCTTCAAGGAAACAAATCTGGCCACGTACGCCGTTGGAATGATCAAGTCCATCGAATCATTGGAAAGCTTCGTTTCTGGGGCAAGGATTCTGGACGTCCTCTTGAACTACGCCCTCACCGTAAAGGACAAGCGACCGCGTAGACTCACGGAAGAGAAGCAGAAGGCGCTCACAACAGACCTCATAGGTTTGGCGTCCACCAGCCATGTAGTCAAGAAATTGCTGCAGGCGATGGATTCCACAAGCCCACACGGCGTGGCAATGAGGGGGATTGCCGCCAACATATTGGCGAACATTGCCGGCAGGACTCCTCTGATGCAATTCTCACAAGTGATCCAGAGCGTAGGCTCGCTGATCGACATCTCTCAGCAGCAACTTGAAGGGGAATGTGCCGTCGCCAAGCTCCAAAGTGGACTACAGGAAGCTGAAAACTACAGGAAGCTGCTTATGGAGAAAGGCTTCGATATCCTTCACAAGCTCGCCGCCGACCAAGAAAACTGCAGAGCCATAAGCAACTCCCAGGGCCTACGGTCCAAGGCTGTGGCGCCTGTACGCTCCGACCTGCTACATCTCATGGACCATGAGGCATGGTCGACCACCATCGTAGACAAGTCGCTGCAAGTCATGGCCAGCCTCGTGGCTTCTCCGGGAGAGACTGGTGCCCAGCTGCGTAACCAAATCTCAAGTGACAAGGAAGTGATCCATGGCATGGAGAGGATCCTAAGATGCTGTGGATGCAGTGAACATGTTCGCATATTAAGCATTGAGATTCTCACGCACCTGGCCATGGATGAGGAGGAGTCACTGCGTGTCAACAAGGAAAGCAGAGAAAATTTTATCAGGATGCTCCCTTCCATCCTCACTGATGACGCCAAAGAATGCTCCATTAGAGAATTGGCGGGTGAAGCACTGGTGATGCTAAGTCAAAGTAAAAGCGACGCTGCCATCATCTTGAAGGCCAACGATCATGTTGTCCGTGATCTCACTAAAATCCTTTGAGACGTTGCAGCCAGCAACACAAATCGAATTAGTGCAGCAGAAACACTGAATCATCTCTACTTTCATTACAAAGAGAATGCGGCCTATCTCAAGACACTCAAGGAACCCATGGAGGACGTGATACCAAAGGTACATTATTAAATACGTACTACATTTCGTTTTATTTTGATTCTTCGTCACCGAAAAAACTCATTCAACATATGTATACTCTTAAATCTAAAGGTTCTTCGAGAAATACTACCTCTTGTGTTGAAAGGAAATGAGACACAAGCAGAAAACGGAAGCCCAAGTTTTCCTTTGCTAGGTCCCACTGACATTGAAGCCCAAGTTCGTGCTCTTCAAGATGACGGCCGTACCAACAACACTTCAACTTGTCAGCAAAATGATGAGAAGAAATTGCTCGCAGCTTTACTATCTCTCACTGTGGCAATATTTGACAAATTGATCAGCCAACATCCTAATTTGTTTGAACTGGTTGATAAAATTTCCCCTGGAGATTCTGCAACAAGCTTTGCCAACAAGCTCAACGGAATGGTGCGGGAAAACAGTGAACCCATGGCAGGTTGCCTGAGCATAGTGAAGAATGCCAGCAAGATGGCCATATCAATGCTGAACCACAATGACAGCTACCTCAAAGAACACTTCTTGATGATCTTCATACAATCTTTGGCTGATGCTTGCAAGAGCATGTCATGTCTCGAGAGTTCTATGATTTTATATAGTGCCAATGGTGGCGCAGTGAAGCCTCACAAGACACTCGCTTCTCTACTGAAAGAAGCACAGGAACTTGCAGGCTCAAAGGAGCAACAAGAGCTGTGAACTACATGAGCTATGTTTGTCCCTGGAGACTGGCCGATTGGTTAGAATAATTTCGTGGATCGGATGAAAAATAAAGTTGGCAGAACCAACTGCGGTATGTATGTGTGTCTGGGTTGGAAGGAACTGCTATTGTGCTTAGTACGTATGTGTGTCTGGGTTGGAAGGAACTGCTATTGTTCTTAGTACGTATGTGTGTCTGGGTTGGAAGGAACTGCTATTGTTCTTAGTACATATGTGTGTCTGGGTTGGAACTGCTATTGTTCTTAGTACGTATGTCTGTCTGGGTTGGAACTGCTATTGTTCTTAGTATGTGTGTCTGAATCCTACCTATCTTATGTCGTCATTTCTGAACTGCAAAATTAAAAGACTACTAGCACAAATATTTCAACACCCCTGTGAGCCTAGGCAAAGCTGCATTATCTTTCATAGAACTGTTTACTCTAATTTGCGTCTTACAGCTTACCTTTTGGCGATTTGTACCAGGGCATTTTTATTCGCGCAATGCAAACTGTGTTATCCTCAGAGGATAGCAATTTTAAGCGGTGTAAATTTACAATAAACTAAAACACAAACAGCCAAGAAGCTAAATAATGTTCACAATTGTTCGTTGTGTTTCTAGAAGTGATACAGGTGGATGCGACGGGAGGCGGAGGCTGGTGATTGTACTTGTTAGATAAGTAAGAACAAGAATTGGAAGTGCAAATTGCATTTCAGGCCATCCTTGAAGTCAAACAATCGGCACATCTGCCACAATGGCGGTTGCTCAGATGAAAGAAGAGAGCCATGCATAACTTGATGTCTTTTGATTTCTTTAGTAAAGAACCCGAAAGCTGTCAAGTTATAAATTATTATCTTCTTCCATCCCTGACATGCGAATATTAACACATGCAATTCTTATTCTTCCGAGATAGCTTGAGGACTCCTTATTGCTTCGGCTATCAGATATAACTAGCTTAAAAGTATCACCATCTCATTGTGCACTTTTTCCAATTAGGGAATACCCAAGGATTGTGCTCTCAAACACGTCTCATGTGAAAATACAAGTATCACACTCAAGCTGGGCAAGGACAAGAATTGGAAGTGCAAATTGCTTATCATGCCATCCTTGAAGTCAAAC